AAAGGAGAAATAGACTAATCTACAGTTAAAATTGAACATTTCACCATTTATCCCTCAGTAATCAGTGGAATAGGAGACAGAAAATCAGTAAGGATACAGAAGAACACCACTAACAACCAATTTATCCCAGTTGACTTTAGAGAACACTCTACCCAACAAAAGCAAAGGTCATACTCTTTTCAAGAGCACATGAAATGTTCACCAAGATGACTATATTCTGAACCATAAAACAAACCTCAACAAACATAAAATCATTGAAATCTTACAGAGCATGTTCTCTGACCACAACAGAAATACACTGTACAATGCTACTGCATATTATGAAGAGACCATTGAAGTATAAAATTAAGGGGGACGTCTGGGCCCTCGGAAGGCTCTCATAACCCTTTCTTACCTGTGGTGTACAGATGATCCGCGGACACTAGAGAGGTCCCACAGGATGGTACCTTGCAGTATTCCCACCTCACATCACTGTTGGTTGTATAGCACCATGGAGCTGTTTCTCCATCAGGGTTACGACAGTAGTTTTCATCCAAACCTCTGAAAAAAAAAGGAACTGTGAGTTTGGCTTTCCAAAAAGGCCAAATACACAAGGTGCACACATTCTTGTTAACAGTGATATTGGAAACATATCCAGCTAATATCTAGAATTCTGCACATTGAATAACAGGTGACAGTGTTACAGAGTAGTGGTTCTCAAACCTTAGTGTGCATTGAATGAAAGGCTTGTTAAAAAATACAATGGGGACCCACACCAGAGTTTCTGATTTAGTAGGTTTGGAGCAGGGCCCAAGAATTTGCATTTTTAATAAATTCCTGGTGATGCTAATACTGCTGGTCCAGAGAAACACACCTTGAGAATAACTGTTGTAAGAAAAACAGTACTGAATGTTACTTCCCTTGCATATGACTTGATCAGAATATGGATTTTAATCCTGGGTTCCTATGGTAACTAAAACTAAGGCAAAGTCAGTGGGATTTCACATTCCATAGCAGCAGAGAGGGAAGGAGACTGGAGGGGACTCACTTGCAGGGAAAATTTTCCGGTGTCC